GAAATATATAATGGAATCAGTTCTATTCACTAAAATCAGTTAGACCTACCACAAGTTTTCGTTTCGGCACATACCCCGAGGAAATTTAACGTCTCTGTGCAGGCTCAAACTTAGCATGACCGATATTTAAAAAAAAAACAACATAGAAATCATAGATCTCGAGTTGATAATAAAACATCATCTATGATATAAATGTAATAATAGTAGATTTATTATAGATCTATAATATATTATATAAATAATGTACATATCATCATCATCATCATTACAGCCCACTGCTGAGCATAGGCCTCCCCCAAGGTATGCCACAAAGCACGGTCTTGAGCCACCTGCATCCGTCGACTTCCTGCATGTCTTACCAGGTCGTCACTCCATCTAGTGGGGGGTCGCCCTACACTTCGTCTACCGGTACGAGGCTGCCACTCGAGAACCTTTTTTCCCCAACGGTTGTCGGTTCTTCGAGCTATATGGCCGGCCCATTGCCATTTCAGCTTACTAATCCGTTGTGCTATGTCGGTCACTCTGGTTCTACTGCGGATATCCTCATATCTAAGTTTATCACGCAGAGAAACTCCGAGCATAGCCCTCTCCACAGCTCGCTGAGCGACTTTGAGCGTCCTCGTACGGCTAGCAGTGAAGGACCACGCCTCAGTTCCATATGTCACCACTGGCTACACGCACTGGTTGTACAACTTAGTTTTCAGGTTTTTAGGTATACCTGACGAGAAGATGCGTTGTAATTTCCCGAACGCTGCCCAGCCGACTTGAATCCGTCGATTGACCTCTCGGTCGAAGTTGGACTTACCTAGCCGGACTATTTGTCCCAGGTAAACGTATTCGTCTATGTAATGTACATATAAATAATTTAATTTCTAATTAATTAAAAATAAATATTATTTTAAATTCTAGAGAGAGAGAGAGAGAGAGAGAGAGAGAGGAGAGAGCTCTTTTTAAGTAGGTATTTGTAAGGTGACGCCATTTTTTTTATAGAATAAGGGTGACAAACGAGCACACAGTCCACGTGACGGTAATTAGATGCTGTGTGGCCCATGGACATCTACATTTATCCTCGATTAAGAATCAAAACGTAGATGCGTTGTCACCCCTGAGGACTACGATGGAATGCCTCGTTTTCGGTAATAAAGGGTCTCCGGATCTCTAAACTCACCATACGAAACCCAACAGTATTAAGATGCTATGTATTTTACGCTGGTATTCTGTGAGAGCGTAGTCATTTCCCGGTCGAGCTGACCCATTCGTGCTACAAGCATGATATATCTGCAGCGTGACTCTACCACTGATTACAATTTATGACTTATTTTTACATTTTATAATTATGTCGTATTTCTATCACGTAAATGAAATATTTTATGAGCCGATTCGGTAGCGTTAGCACAGTGTGCAACTTCGACTTTTCGAAATTTGCGCAAAATACTCTACTGCAGGCAAATTCTGCGCAAAATACTCTATTTTAGGCAAATTCTGCGTATTACTATAATATGGCTTTCCATTAATTGCTCTTAGTTAAAATTTATAGTTTAAATTTAGGTAAAAAAAAATCACACCTGTCTGTGACATTTATTATAAATAAATGTGTGGTCTACTGTTCAATATAGGCCTATACCCATAGGTCTGCCCTTGTAATAGCAAATGCACTACTTGCAAAATGGCGGTTTTGAGATAAACGTGGTTTAGTTTTTTTTTGTGATCTTTACGTACTTTAACTGATACTTAAAACTTATGATTTGTTATGGAAAGGCTATATAAAACCGGCCAAGAGCGTGTCAGGCCACGCTCAGTTTAGGGTTCCGTAGTTTCCCGTCCGTCACAATAAGTGTTCCCACTTATGAGTTTAATGGTGGGTATCCATTATGTTCGCGCTCCAGCAGCGCTCCGCGCTCCTGCAACTGCTCCCGGTAGTGGGTACTGTTGTTTCCATCCAAGTTCAAAATGATTTTCCTAGAAAGTCCTTATAAAGTTCCACTTTTCAGATTTTTTTCATATTTTCTAAACTTATGGTTCAAAAGTTAGAGGGGGGACACATTGTTTTTTACTTTTGGAGCGATTATTTCCGAAATTATTGATATCAAAAAATGATTTTAGTAAACCCCTATTCATTTTTAAATACCTTTCCAACAATATATCACACGTTAGGGTTGAAATTAAAAAAAAATCACTTCCCACTTTACATATAGGGGGGCTACCCTAATAAAAAAATTTTTTCCAATTTTTATTTTACCACTTTGTCGGCGTGATTGATACACATATTGGTAACAAATTTTAGCTTTCTAGTGCTAACGGTCACAGAGATTAAGCGAGGACGGACAGACGGACAGACAGACATGGCGAAACTATAAGGGTTCCTAGTTGACTACGGAACCCTAAAAATACAAAGTATTGTTTAGTTTAGTTTTGATGTTAATATTAGTTAAGTAGCTTTGCACAAATGTAAATAGGCTTGTATCCCTTTTGTCATACATCAAAATAGTGAAGTGGAATACATTATTCGGGTTTTTACTACATTTGTATATAGAAAATACATAGACTGCATTATGCACAAATTATGCAAAGTTAATAACTGAATATCGAGAATAAAAGGCATAATGCAGTGTACATAAACTTATTTAATATAATTAATAGAAAAAAAATGGGAAAAACATGTTTCACAAATAGTTATAAATAAATGAGTCATGATCATTCTTTGCAAGTAGTGAACGTTTTTATACTACAAATAGTTTAAATAACAATGCACTAAAACTAACTGAAGTAATAAAGCAATGCATGTAGCACAAAAATGGTTCGCAGTTCAAATTTTCAATTTAATTTGAATTTTACGGACTACCTTGGTTATTTCGCCTTAAAAACTTGAAACGGAACACGGATTCCGGAGGAAACTTAAAAAAATATTAACTAATAATGGCACAGTAACAACTAGTAATAATTTAAATTAAATCTTACAGCCTTCTCAAAGCCTCCCTCAGTCGGAGAGTCATTGATGTGAAGTTTTTGCCAAAACTGTAATTTGTTTTGTAGATGTAGATGTATTTTTAGATTCTGAATTTAAAAGACAAAGAGGAAAGAATATTTGAGATTTTCTAATAAGTTTTTCTTCACAATTCGCCTATATTACTAACTCTGAACGTTAAACGTTAAAATAAACCTGTATAAATATAGAGGTGACTCCATAAGTTTAGTTTTAATCATTTAAGTGGTATGTGTATCTATTATTATTAATGATACCACCGCGTCGTTGGCCTAATAGTCGTAAACTCGATTACTGATTATGAGGTTCCGGGATCAAATCTCAAGTCAGGCCAGAATCTGTTTTCTCTGTCAAAAAATTCTCAGTAGCAGTCCGGAGTTAGGAAGTTGACGGTATTTCCCCCCGGTGCCTTGTAGAGCACGTAAAGCCGCCAGCGCCTCATCTATCTTCCGTTGTGTCGAACTACCGTCCCATCGGACGGAGAAAATGAGCATAACGGAATAGATATTGCACGTTCGCTTTCGCATACAGTTGGACACTATAATCCTGACTTGCGCAGATGGCTAGTCTCCGTTAAGACTGGCCGCCGTGACCAAAATTCGGTCTGGAGGACATTATTATATTTATGGAAATCGTAGGTTATTTAAATTATAGATAAAGTCGATACCTATTCTAATCATTACACGAATTGAGGAGATTAGTCTAAATTGTCATATAGTAAGCGGGTTAAAATCGTCGGAGTATAAGATACCTTATTTATTTATTTATTTAACTTCATATACCATTAGATGTATATAGGCGGACTTAATGTCTGAGGTATTATCAACCAGTCTACCTTAGACTAGTGCAGAGATAAAAGAGGTAGGTGTAATAAGAAGTATGTACTATATATATAAACTCATACATATATAAGCGTATAAATATATACATATATAAACATTATTTAAGTATATATACATAAAATTATATTTTTTTTTTTATATTATATATATATATATATATATATATATATATATATATATATATATATATAATACATATATACATTATATATACATACATATATACATTCCATATATATAATAAATATAATATTAAACATGGCTAACTACGAACGCCAAGTTGATTCTGCCATTTTATTGGCGAGCAGTTCTCGCACTTCAGACTTGAACGAAATTCGGTTTTCGGCACTCCTGATTTCGGAAGGAAAGTTCAAACGTTCCAAACGTTCCAAAGAAGAACAGATTGAACAAAGAACGATGATTATACAAAGTTAGTACTAAAAGGGGGGCACTGAAGCAAAAGGTTATTACTAGAACGGAGAACTCTATCATGGTTGGAGCTAAGATATTGAAAATGAGGAGTTAAATTATAGACGATACTCTCCGAAGGTGACCTGGATATTTTAAATATGGTAGTTTTGAGCTAGCTAATCCACAATAACACATGTTATTACATATATACAATATGTAACGTAATTAATGCACACGCTCAGACACCCCAATTTGTATATTGTTATAATCATAATACATACACTGAATTTTAGTTAAACATTTTTATGCACTGTCATCTGTATCATTCAATAATTTTATAGGTTTAATAATAATTACAGTAATCTTTGTGTAATTGGTTTATTAAATTAACATATATCTTGGATTTGTTAAGGAAAATTACTATTAACTATTTAATAACGATTAATAATAATAACCAAAACTGTTATAAAATTTTTGAGATTGGTTCAGTCCTTCAAAATCTTCTCTTTCTCTCTCTCTCTCTTCTTCCTTCTCTCTATTGTTATCTTTTGAAGAGTATTTTTCAAAATTCTGAAACGATGGAGTTGATAAGACTGAGTTTCTTAATGTTGTTACTCTTGGATATTCTTTTAGCACTGATTTTAGAATCTGGGGACTTCATTCCAAGAAATGATTTTTTTGTTTAAGTGCGGTTGAAATGTTATTACTGTGGGGATCCTTTCTTGTATATACATCGGTTAGTCTAATCCTGACAATTTCGAAATTTAGAAAGTTGATTCAAGGGCTTTATTTAATATTTCATCATTGTACGTTGTTACAGGTTCTGTACTGGAGTACTGAGCACCACTTGAATAAAAGACATCAGAGATCATTGAATCTAACTCTGTCAAAGATTCTGTTATACTTGATATAATACTAGGTTGATAATATTCTTTATAAATACTACTCCTATTAGAATAAACGTTTTGATTTTTATCGATGTTTATAGTAATTTGAGAACTTTTTCCAGAGAAAGGATATGTTATATCTAAATGTTTTTTACCTCCAAACTGTTCTGTTACATTATGAATTGATATATCAGTCTCATTGTTTACTTTAATTTCAATATTACTATGTATAGGAGGGTAAATTTCGTGATATTTTCGTGAAAGTTTTTGATCTAATTTAGGTAATAATTTATCACTTAAGTCAAAATTTCTTACAGATGCTTCAGTTTGCTCCGAATTATCTTCTTGGCTACCTTCATAATCACGTGAAACATTTGGAGTTATAAATGGTTGTGGTTTTTTATCTTTATTTTCTGATGTTTTAACATTCTTTTTTCTTTCTGAAATAAAATATTCTGATTCTAAGAATCTATTTTCGAGTTCATTAAATTTCCTTTGAGGTTGAATATAAAAATAACCTTTATTTGTTATTGCAGATTTTTCCGAAAGTGTAGTTACTGTTACGTCTTCTGCAGTTTTCTTTTCATTTTCAACAGGATGGATGTTTTTATTTGATAAAACTTTCTTGTAAACAGAATCTATCATTATTTGTGAGCGTAATATCTTTTTAGGGTCTGGACTAAATTCACGTTCAAAGGATTCTTCAGGTAAAGTAACTATGTCTTCAATTAATTGTTTCTCTGTAACACCTATTTTCGTTTTATTTTCGAGAGCTTTGAAGTTGATGTTACTTATATTACGATTAAAACTTACTTTATTTTCTTGAGAATATTGTTTGTCTGGTTTATTTTGCATTTCAACATCATTATATGGGAAAATATTATTTTCTAGAATGTTTGTGTCAAATTCGTTATTAGGTATATCAGCCCCATTAACAAAAAATATACTTTCACTGTATAGTTTTTTGTCGTCATTAATTATGTTTTGATAACTTTTATAGCCATATTTATTTTCATCGTAGGACCCTGAAACATATTATTATTTTCTTTAACATAATGTTGTAAGCCTTTTGTAAACCTAATCTTAATTTTTTATTTCAGACGTAGTAAGTAAATGTTTTGTTTTGATAACCAGTTTACTTAGTAGTCGATCGGTTTATCTTATTATTAGTAGTTAATTATTATTAATAAGTTAACCTAAAATTTATTATTTATAATTCTTAATGCTTAGATTAGTATTTATAGTATTAGTATTTACCGTCATCAAATATTCCAGCTTCTTTGTCCTTAGCAGCTTGTTCTATGACTTTTAATATAGCCTCAGGTATAGGGGGAGAAGTGGGTAAATGTTCACCACGAGGTTGAAAACCATTTTCATCGGCTGTGTATGTTACGCTGTAAATTTTCCCATCGTCACCAGTATATGAATACGAACCCTGGACGCTTGCTCCATTAATAACTGTACCATTTTCATTTACATGTATTCCATTTGATGTGTCAAATGTGTATGTATATTCATCAGGTTTTACGATATTTTTGTAATTTAAGATGAAAGCGTTTCTTTCTAAATTCGCTTGGGGCCTTCTGGGAGAGGAGCTTTTTGAAATACTTATTGTTGAATCAGTTTGACTATGGTCATAAGGCAAAATTAATTTATTCTCATACATCTTTTCCATTGGAGTAAAGGTATAATTTGGTTCAGTTGAAAACTCATTGATCAGATAATCTTGAATTAAATCGTTATTATAGTATTTAGAAGTATGATTTTCCACAACCTTCTCAGATTTATGAATTAATGATTTTATATTTTTATTTGATTGATTTCTTCCGCGATGTAGGACAGGGTGTAATAAATTGATGTCATTTCCTTCATTTTTAACAGGTTTATCAATATTATTTTGTTTAAATATTCCAGACAATGAAATATCTTCAGTGTGCGAATGAGGAAATTCGTCAAAGTAGATAGATTTGCCGTTGAAATCTCTATTTGGGTAGGAATTATCAGTCAACATTTCAGGACGACTATTATTGCTTTGTAACTTTGTATTGTCTCCGTTAAATATCGATGCGTCTATCAGTTTCAGTGGAGTTTTAATTTTTACTTTTTTATCCGCTTTGGAACCTATTTGCCTCTCATCATTGATCAATGACACCAAGGAAGTCATTTCAGTTAAAACTGATGGTACTGTTGTGGAAGAAGGAATAGGTAATCTTAATGGTATGTCACTTGTGCCAGGGCTGCCATCAGCAAGCTCAGATCCAGGTGGAGGAAGATATTTCAGATCTAATTTATCAGAATTTCCAAAACCAATAGCCAAAAGTATCTGAAAATAATAAAAATTATTACCGATATATTGAAACATTATATGTAATTATATAGATTTCGTAGTCATCAAAATGATAATATTAATTTGAATAAATCTTTTTTTTTTTGGATTTTTTAAATCACGCTTATTCACTGGCAAATATTTTACACAAACCTACAATTACCGAAAAATACTGAAATAGTTAAATTTTAAGAGATTATATTGTATCATCAATATTTTCCTGTAAAGTACATTATTTAAACGTAAACAAAAAGTCTACTTATTAGTTTTATAATAAATAAGAAGGTACATACAAAAATTTATTAGCTATTTATTAATTTTTATGCATCACTTTTAACATCATATAAAACTTAAATTATGTATTAAAACAGCACCGAAACAAAAAAAAATGCTGTCATGCTTTCGAGTGATCAACTTATTCCTAGGAGTTAACACTAATTGCTTAATAAGGGGTTTTTTACTGTACTCTTAAGTAGTAAAATAACACTTATTAAACAGTTTTTGCTAAATAATAACATGAATAATTTTATATCGATTTAAATTAATCATAGCCAGTCTTTCGCCGTTTTAAAGAATACATTTCGAAGAGTGTGCGCAGGATTTGTACGACTTAACTCCTCCTTCTTCATTCTATCATCGGAGCACCAGACGATCGACTAATCTACACCCTCTTGTTGTCGAAACACCACGCATTGTTATCAAACGGTTTTCTTAGTCGTTCATAGTGCATATAATAAATGAGTGCAATAAGTTGCCGGCATCTGACTTTACATCCGATTATAATGTGGGTATCTTCAAGGCAAGAATGAACAGGCTTTTGTTAAGCTAACTCAATGCGCTATACTATCTTCGACTGCATCACCACTTACCATCAAGTGGGATAGTAATCAAGCACTGACTTATAATAGTAAACCTACCAAGCAGCTACAGTGTTAAATATCCCCCCTGTGATATTTTGAGAGGGAACACTTATTTCTGCAGCGGACTTTTGATGTGCAATAAAAAAAACAATTTAAAATAACGTTACCAAAAACGACTTCATCTCGATCGATCTTTCCTCAACAGGATTCGTTTAAGATGTGTGTAGGACATGATCAACAAATGTTATTTATATCGTCTTAAAAATTATGTTTAATGGTCAACACGCTCATGGAAGGACGTGATAGACAGACGTACCGCGTGACAATACTCTAATTGTTGATGTCGAACAATCAAGCAAGTTATTAAGAGCGTTTATTTTATAATTTCCTCACGTTATGTTGCTAAGATTGTGTAATTGATACTTTAACCCCGTGATATTTCTATAGATAGTGACAAATTGATTTTGGATTAATATGTTATTATAGGAGTTTTATCAGGACTGTAAAATATAATAGGTATTAAAAATAAATAACCTTTTTAAGGTTAACGACCCTACATTGAATTAAACTATCTTGCCCAAAGAAAGAAAAGGGGAAATTTCCGGGCAGGAAGTTCAGCTCGGGGAACTGCCGATTACCAAGTTATTAAGTATTGGTGGTACCACCAACGATTCGTATTTGGTGACTAGTTTTAACTGGTTTTAATAGTTTTGATCGAGTTATCCCTAAAAATCAGTTCTCATATTTATACATGTAAAAAAATCAGATTGGCGACAGGAAACAGCGTCAGGGTGTAAGTTATTTGGTACTATAACCGGAGCGTCCTATTTCCTGCTGGGTTTTACAGTAGGAATTGTTTCAGCTGTTTATAAAACAGAAGTGACATACGAACCCACCTGGTGTGGCCATTGCAGCACATGGTCAACAGAAACCGACTTCAAACAAATGGGACTACATGCGCTCTCACCTCCGATATCTAAGATGGAGAGCTTCATATAGCCTGTAATTACACTAGCTTTCTACATCCTTCAGACCAAAACACAGCAGCGTAGGTAAAAACGTAGTCGCAAAAATACTCTTAGTTTAGACGGTGATACCTACCAAGACAATAATAAATCAAGAATTAAAATTAATGCACGATAATGAGCGCCCTTACACTGTGATGTGCGTTATAGATTACTTGCCAGAAGTGGGGATACAGGTTCTGGACTGACCAGCCTTCATCCTATAGAAAATTTATGGGACGAGATAAAATAGCGAGAAAGACAGCGCGATCCAGCTCTGGTGAATATCCTGAAAGCATCTTTATTGGAGGAATGGGAAAACACACCCCAATCTACCATTAAAAATTTGATACGATCCATGAAGAAAGGGATGGTATGTGTACTAAAGAAAGATTGATCAGCGAAACCATTTTCTATCAGTGTGAAATCGTTGTACATTTTCTTCATTCTTGATCGATGAAGTTGGTTAATTTAAAAATGTATTATTTAATTTAAGAATTAACAAACAAAATATTTTTTTTAAACAATCACTACAACCGGTTTGGTAGGTAGCCAAATTTTAGTGTCCACTAATATAAATTAAGAGCTTAACTCTTATATTCAGTTAGGTTAAAATTTATTTGATAGATAAATTGTACCTAATGTTTGAAAATTGGCCCTTGTTCTAATTTAAAAGATATGTATTTAACGTGCACGTTAAAAAGTAATAGCTTATTATCGACTGACATATGGTGGCCGCCATCACGATCTTGTGTAACACAGTACACACAAACATTAATTTGTAACGATTTTGGTAATGAACAATGTAAATGTGTGAACAAGAGATGGGTAGCAGCATCTTCTCAGATGAATGCTCAAAATGATGAAAGAACTGCGTTGTCAACTCACATGTCGAACGTGGCAACTATGGCAAAACCCCCACTATAAGGAAATTTGTGGGGACGCCAGAGCAGTGAACTTTTATAGGCTGTAATCAATAAATGAATAGAGCAACGTAACCTACGATATTCTCCGTAACTATCTCGTTATTCTAGTCGTTATCGCAACTACTCATCATGTACTCACTGGTTTAAAACCCGGATAGGGCCAAAATCATTTATTGGGTTTTACTGTCAGGAAATTCTCAGTGAAGTGCGGGAAATACGTGGTCCCGTGCCTGATCCCTCTCCGATCAGCTCGGATTGGCGATTGTAAAAAAAATGATTTGATATTAGTGATTATTATGTTTCTTTTTTTTAGGTTTTAAGATTAGATGTTTGCTTTTAGTATAGTCTAATTTTTGGTAACGATGAAACTGATATAGTTCGAAGACTAAAAGTCTCTAAAAGGGATAAATAAATATTTTAAGGAACATAAATTGATATAAAGTTAAATGTTTAACTTTATATCAATTTATGTTCCGTTGTAATGTTATATTTCCGCTTATTTAATTCAATTGAATTTTAAGGTCTTTTATTTTGAATGAATGACGACATGATGAATAATGTGTAATTATTAAGACCGTATAACGTATTCTTAGCTCTGTTTCTTCAGTATTCTCCGAAAAAACAAAGCGGGAATAAAATATACTATAACTCACTATGTTCAACTGAACTGTACTGCAATCCGTACACCTGTTTTTGTGGCTTCGGTATTCATACAGTGCGGAGCGGCGCTAATAATAATTTTATATTAAATTACACATATGCGAAATGAGAGCCGTGGTAGCTCAGATGGTTAACACTCGCTGTAAATATAACAGAACGCGAGTAACCCGGGTTCAATCCCCGCCGGAATCAAAGAAATTGTTAATTGCAATTTTAAGTGCTGATTTACCACGGGCTCGGCGGTTAAGGAAAAAATCGTGAGGAAACCTGCATATCTGAGAAATAAGAAAAAAAAATAATTTCGAAGACATGTGAAGTTCGCCAACACGAATCGGGGCGGCACGGCGGACACTTCCTTGCCCTAAAACCATCTCATAAATTAGGGGAGGTCTGTGCCCAGCAGTGAGTATATGCCAAATAAACGAAAATTAAAAAAAATGTACTCGATTAACAATACAATCTAAATAAACAATAATTATTTATTATGACAATTTTCGCGCGTTTATATCAACTGCGCATTCGCGACTCTACTGTTTCCCGCGCATGCGCGGATACAGAATAGCTTCTCTAGTACGTAGTACATACGAGGGCGGCACTGAAAACTTCGGGAATCAAGGAAGTGACACAACATTACTATTTAAAAATGTATTTATTGCTTTTCGAAGTATTCTCCGCGAAATTTGGCACATTTTTACATACGATGGAACCAATTATTGAAGCAACCATTCCATTCGGAAGTTGGGGTCTCCAAAATTGCCGTTTTGTAGGCGTCCACAGCTTCTTCAGGTGATGAAAATCTCTGTCCACGCAATTTATTCTTTATTTTAGGGAAAGTATAGAAATCATTAGGGCTTAGATCGGGGCTGTACGGCGGATGGTCTAATAGTTCTATGTTTTCTTGCTCTGAAAACTCTTTTGTTCTGTGTGCGGTGTGAGAACTCGCATTGTCGTGATGGAGGATGATGCGGCGGTTGCAGTTCTCTTTACGGAGTTCAGAAACGACCTGTGGCAAACAAATGCTAGCATACCATTCTGCATTAACCGTTCTTTGTCCCTCAAGAGGAATAGTCGTAACATGCCCGGTTTTGGAGACAAACGTGGCCACCATTTTTTTTGCAACACTCCGTGAACGAACAATTTTTGTTGGCTTTAACTCATTTTCGAACACCCAAACTCGTGACTGGTTTTTTGTTTCGGGTTCCTACGCATATATCCAGGATTCGTCATCTTATACGATGTTGTATACAGCATTTGAGAATCCTGCGTGGAATCTTTCGAGAGTTCTGATGCACCAAGTAACGCGAGCCGCTTTTTGCTCTGCACAGAGCGAATGCGGTATCCATCGGGAAAACAACTTTTTTACACATAATTGTTCATGCAAGATTATTTGTATTTGACTCATACTAATGTCTAAAGTTGCCTGAATTTCTCGGTGTGTCACATGTCGATCTTGCTCAATCAGCTTACGCACAGCATCAACGTTTTCTTGGGTGACTGCAGTTTTTGGATGACCTTGACGGATATCATCACTGAGCTTGACACGTCTACGTTGAAATTCAGCAAACCAGCGATAAATTGTGGTTTTGGATGGGGCTTCATCACCAAATGCAGAAATCATCCGGTCAACACACTGTTTTTGTGATAAATCACTTCGAAAGTCATAATAAATCATCGCTCTTGAATTTTCTCGAGTCAATTCCATTTTCTCAACGACTAAACAAGTTTGACAAAACCTTGTGACAAGACCGAGAATCTTTTTTTTAAATAAATAAATGGTATTCGATTTTTAAAACCAAGGAGTTTTCAATTAAAAATATTTTAATATGACAGGAACAGTGGAAATATTCCATTCCCGATACTTTAGTGCAGCCTAGGTATACCTCAATGGTTCTCTAGCTCTTATCACTATCTATACAAAACAGAATATCATATCATAATTTGTATAATTTGCTACTACTTTTCTGCAGTTGTCTGTGAAAACGCTGTCTCACTCCAGACGTGTCGACCCATTAACACAACGTCAATTAATGCTTGGCATCACCAAGGTCTGATTTCTCACGAAATTTCGTCATTCCATTATCATGTAGACTAAGTTTTAATAACGTACATTAATATGAAAATAAGCATTCACATTTGTATCTATTTCATTACTTCAATGTGTTGCCGTAGGCGTCAAATTACTTTCATTAAGGTCGCGTACAACACGAGCGGGCCATCTTTAAAATCAGCATTGTTTTAGATCTTAAATAATTGCGCCTCGTCCATGATCTCTGAACTTGATGTGTAAAGTAAATTTACAATATAACACTTCATTCATCAACCTTTTGTCTTATACGGTACAGATTGCTTTTATCCTACCCAATTTTAATTTTCTTTTGTTTATGTGTATCTGTCTCGCTAGTATATTGGTAATAAGCGCAACTGGTGATGTTGAGATCCTGGGTTCTATGATCGGTCCAAAAGCAGTTATTCGGTTTTTCTATAGAGAAATTCTCGGGGACAGCCCAGAGTCAGAGAGTTGGCTGTGTTTGACCCCCGTGTCGCGAAAAGAATGTAAATTTCTAGTTCCTCTCTCTCTCGCTCTCTATCTCT